TGCTGTCAGCTCTTCCCTCATCTCTTTGTTCCTGCGCACCACCTCCGCGTGTCTCTCCTGAAAACAGCAACACAGTTAGGACGATTATCATTCACCGGGACGATTACGCTTTTTGCTTTTTTTTCCCTTACCTTCTCCTGCAGACGCTCAAGCAAAGCTGCCAGATAGGCTTCGCGGTTCTCCTTGATCTGCTCCATCTTCAGCTGGAGCTTCTCCTCGGCCATTTTGCTAAAGTTGCTGTTCTCCTCCATGGCCTTTAGCAACACGTCCCGCTCGTGCTCTCGCTTCTCTGCCAAAGCCCTCAGCACCTGGGCCTCTTGGTACTAAAAACACAAGCAAAAAAAAAAAAATCAGATTTGAATAGTTTAACATTAAGAAGAGGCTTCCTCAAGATGAAACACCCACCTTCCTCCGCTCCTCAGCAGCCTCCAGTTTCTTCTCGATGTCCTCCAAGGAGATGTCCCTCTTCGGAGGCGAGGGCAGGTTGTGGGCAACGTCGGACACCGGTGACATCGGCTTGAGAATCACCTCGAAAGCTTGTCCCGAGGCCCGCTTGTCTATAGCTTTCACCTCCATGTCTGTAAATCAGACAATCAAAATGATTAAAGAAAAAAAAAATCAATGTCCAGTGATGGGTCATCATTGCTAATGTGTGTATTTAGGGTATTTAGCTGGACAAAACCATCCATCAGGGTGGTCATTTGTTTAACCCACAAGAAAATCAATGTTTGAGCCAATCTGTTACCTTCGAACTCGCTCATGAGCTTGTTGCGCGTCTCCGGGTAGAAGCAGGAGCAGATGAGAGAGAGGACAGACAACTCCTTCATCTTCTCTTTGTATGCTGCGGGAACACAAAACACACCGTCCAGGTGAGTCTTTCTCTGCTACTCATAAAAACAATGACACAGCACCGACCTCAGGCTACCTCACCGCCGTGCGAGCTTTTGTCACAAATGCACTTGAAGATATCGCAAGTTAGGAAGGGAGGAACCAGCTAGCATCCGTTGACCGTTGCATTAATGATCCGCTGAAGGTCTAAAAAGTACATAAGTGCTGTGATGCTTAATAATTAATTGGATGAATGTATTCTGTAAGAGTGAACAAACTCTTTCACGAGAGGGATAAAAACATGCAATAAGACCAATAAGAGGTATTGCCTGATATTGCTCAGAAAAACTACATTTAACACAAGAATAAACCAGTAAATATAAAGCTGTATAAGGAGTATAACAGCAGAAAAGCAATAAGATAAACTTTATTGATCCCTCACAGGGGAAATCTACATGTTACAGCAACTAGATATAGATGAGGCTAGAATATGGCTAAAAATGAAGATTATAATCAAGGTCTCATAAAGACAAGGTATGAATAAGTAATAAGTCCAATATATTAGAAATAATACTGCATATTGCACCTGAAATTGTGTCTTAAATATAACATTATTACTGTGACTTGAAAATAGGGCAGCAGATAAGCCTATGTGTCAAATTATTCAGTCTCCTGGTGAATTTTTTAGTCCTGCATCACAATAATAAGAAGCCCCTCTACATGCGTCTGCGCTGCACCGAGGATATTGGTGGTGTCAAATACAGCTGATTAATCACCTGGACTTTGTTTAAAATTAGTTTTCACCAACTCCTGAGGGCTATTTTTAATCTCATCTGCGTTTTTGTTTTTTTTCTGTTTCCTCTCCACCTGCCCTCTTCGGAGAGGACTCCAGATTGTCGGTGCTGCTCAGCCTTCTGCTGCAAAGGCCAGCGTGTGAGGCGGCCTCTTGCTGCAGGGCTGGCCTGCCTCCCACCCTGCCCTACACCTGTCTGCTCCACCACACCGCCACCACGACGAAGCCAGCCGGTGCACCGTGTTGTGTTTTTTTTTTTAAAATGCACTGCTTACATACAGGTTGTGTTTTAGACTTGTATGCAAAAGCTGAGCAAACCCATGTAAACAAATATGCTCAATGTCTGACCTGGAACAATAACTGACCATCAGCTGGGGTGGCAAATTGATGCAATCTAGCTTTTATCTAATATTATAAGACGGCTAAGGAATAAAGAGTGTTGTGATAAGGTAAAAGCACATTTTCTTTTTGCACAGTAAATGCCAGAACATCTGCTACAGCTGCTGGTGCATCCCTGACAATGTGAGAATAAAAGGAGCAATTCCATATAAATGAAAGGATAGATCAATCCTGTTCAGGAAAACAGAAAAAAAAACCCAACTGCACAGGTTTATTAATAGCAAAGTGAGGTTTGAGTGGAAGCAGATGAAGCCTTCTGAGCTCTGCTGTCGGCTAAATAATCAGCAGCCCAGCATCTTGGGTGGGGTCCGTCTGCATTATGCTGCATGTTGGGGCCGCTGTAGCATGAACTGGAGGTGCAGCGCTGTAAATAAATCCCTCTAAAGGTACAATCCACATCGCCTAATTACATAATGTTACACAATATGAGACAAAAAAGCGGGCGAGGATTTGCACAGATGAGGATTATAAAGGAGACATTTCAGGAGCAGAGGATGCTCGGCGTGGAGGCGCACATTTCTGCTCGTGTGCGCACACAAAAGGCCCCAAATCGGTGGACAAACCTCAAAAGATAATTTAATTCAGCATTATTTTGTTCAAATAAGAGTATTTCTCAGGAGAGCCTTTACAGAAGAGCGGCCACCAGCCGGTAGGCCGACACCACACAGAAAGGATGCACCTGTCTCCAGCTCATCCATCCATCCATTCTTTCATTCATCCTTTCATCCGCCTTTTTGAACAGAATCAGTCTCATCGTGCTTACCGGTCGCTGTTTTGGCCATGGCTGATGTATTTCTCCGCAGAGGATGCTGTAGCTCTGTCCTGGTGAACGGTGATGCTGCTTAAGGCACTGAGTCAGCGAATAGACGGGGGTTGGATCGGATAGCAGGAGGTGCGCACGCACGGGAGCGCGCAAGGAGACCCTCCTCTCTCTCTCCTCTGACGCGCAAAAGCGATTTTTTAGCAGCATCCACTGTGGGCTGAAGTCTAATAAAGCGCAGGTCGCAGCATGGGCGTAGAGTTTGTTGTTTTTTTTGAGAATGGTCTGCATTATGATGAATTTTTATGCACCAGTTTGTGGTGGATGTGGGAGCCAAGGCACGTTTATGTACGATAATTAAGGGCAGTGTGCGTTTTGATGAAGAGATCATGGAAACTAAGATAAGCAGGTGTTTTGAGTGATGAATTGAATAAGAAGTAATTTGTTGAAAGTCAGCTGCAAGTCATCTTTTTTTATTTAACGCTGTTTTCAGGATGTTCTATTAAGAGCAACACTATGGAAAGTCTCTGATAGAACACTGATGTTAAAAGAAACAGGGGTTTATTGAGGTGATTATGTAGAAAATGTACTCTTTTTATTTTTTTATCTGTTCTTTTTAATTAGGAGGACCTAACTTTGGGTAAACCTGGACGGAGATATTGCAAAACTGTGCTTTAAAATATTTAATTTCATCTTTTTTCCATTGGAGTTCTGTGGAAGTTTTGTCCTTTCTCAAGTAAATTAGTGAAGCCAAGGTAATGTTTGAGAAGGGAGGGAAGATAAATGTTCTAAATATGCACCCCGTCTGAAATCTACACTCACAGTCACAAAACAAGTTGATAAATAGGCCAATATGTTGGTAAAAGTCTACACTTGAGACATGTGGTTATGTGAAAATAGGCCCAATGCAGCCAGTAGTAATCAAAACATAACTGAAATTCTACTTACAACATAATAAATCACGTTTACATTGCCTGGTTTGAATATAAGCCCAAGCATTAAGAACATGCCGGATCACATCTCGCAGTTTCTATATAAGAAAACAGACTTAAGAATACTGACTTCTCTAGAGTTGTGTAGGATTGTGTGCTGTGACCAGCCTACGCCTACTGAACAAAAAAAAAAAGGTTAGCAATGACGCTCGCTATTAGTCAGACTGTTCAGATCAATTTTAACATCTGAATGTGTCATCCATCGTCAGTTTTGAACTACAAAGAGTGAAAAAGTGGAGTGCAGTTATGACTTTAATGAACAAAGGAAGTCCAAAAATCTCAACACATCTCTGTGGGAATTGAAAATGATGTTTATTCTCAATAAAATGTCTGAATAAACGTTTGCTCCCAGAAGCTGGCTGATGTAAGATGAAAAAAATCTTATACTCTTTATCATTTAGCAGCAAAATTCATTACAGATCATCTTTTATTTCTTGAACCTTGGGATGTTTTAAATGGAGACCAGGCCACAAAGGCTCAACATTATAATGCTGGAAAAGAATCATAAAAATGGAGCATGACAGCAACAAACATGGGACAAAAGTAAAGCACATGAGAACAACCGAGGGACCAAAGACACACAAAACAAACTCCAGCTCAGGAACAGCGACGGCACTCTTCAGTTTCACATCTTTTGTTCAGAGCTTTGAACTCTCAGGGAGGCAAAATCACGAAGCTCCAGTGAGTTCTAAAGGGTTACTCCATGACCAGGGAGCAGAATAGGAGAAGGCTGTTCTGGCAAGTTCACAGCAAATCCTCTATAGGAGCCGTTTAGATGAGCAAGAAGCATTTGTTGGCAAGTAATAGAACAATATACAAGGAAGAAGGGAGTTTATGCAGTACTGCTTTCTAAATAAAACACACCATTGCTGCTGTCTTCTCTGGTTTAATGAAGGACAACAAGTTGGATATAGAGAGCGAGGCAGCAGCATGCATATGAATAACGTCCTCCTATTGTAAAACGTTTGAAAATGTGGCCTGTACAACCATTTTTCTAACTGCTAAAGTAAGGCAGACCCTATTTCAAGAATAAAAAACCGTCTAACCTTCAGTTCTTTTTCACTAAAGCTGCTCAATATTACTCTGAAGGATTCATCCTGACACCGTGAAAGATGCTGCTTCAAATGATAAAATAAGAGTAATGCATGAAGAGTTTTCATATCTGTATGTTGTGAAATTTTACGACTTTAATTCGCCGCAAGACAAAACAAATGTCACTGCACACAGCTTAACTTATACGTTTTATTTATTTATTTTACATACAGTGGACCCTGTTCGCAAAATAAATGCCATTTTGTTGCAATTTTTGGGTTCTGAGTGGAAAAAAAAATACAAAAGCAAAATCTTTTTCAAAAAACAGACATTGTGAATAAAACAAGTTTTATAACAACTGAAACCATCAACAGGAGACAAATGCATCAGCATCAGTGTTGTTGTTTTTTTTTGCATTATGAAACAAGGAGAATTTCACGAATAACAGTCAAAGTGCGCCTCTTGCTGCACCATTGTGAGGTCAGACTTACAAACACTCATGAGGTTTTATGGATCCGAAACTTTACCCGTCAGATAAAAACTGCCTTAAATAAGACGTGTTTGGTCGACTTGGGATGCTACATTACATTCAGTTCTCAGTTAAATAGTATTGAAGTCAAATACAAAAGGAAACAAAAGTGAAGCAGTGCATGCTGGTTAATTATAAAGGTGAACTCAATCAACTAAATCAACGCATAAATAGAAAGTATAATTAAAAATTATCCTGATTGTTGTGAAACTATTATAAGCTACATGTGATCAGTGAAGAAGGAACAGAAAAAAACTATTGCGGTGCATCATGTTTTCAGTGTTTGACGTATTCTTGCGTATCAGTTTGCACTTAGCTGCGCTGCGCTTTGGCCTTGAGCTGCTTCTTGATGTAGCTGCCGACAAGAATCTGAGGCCGCTGCTGGTAGTTGCGAAGAACTTCATGAGAGCTGCTCAGCTGATCCCCCTTCAGCCGGTCCAGTAGCGTTACACAAACCACGGCCGCTTCACACGACAAAAAACACATCATTCAGGAGGCAAAACAACATCCTGGGTTGAGAACATTTTTCTGTTGTGATCATTTCTTACCTCGTAGACCGCTCAGTTTGCACATAGCGGCAAAAACCGATGATTCCATTTCAATGTTGCAGACTCCTGCCTCGCCGGCTCTGTTGAGGTAGTCCTGTTTGTCCTTCTCAGTGTAGGCGCAGAAAGCACCGTCCAAACGGGCTTGACCTGCGTTTTTAACAGACAGAAAACACAGAAACAAAGTAAAAGACCGTACATGTCTGCAGACAATACACTGACCAACACAAATTTAACATAGTCAGGCTTTATCTGTGTTAGCTGGCTCAACAAAACCTAAAACCGCAATCAGAAATAATGGGTGTCATTACAGTGGTTAGAAACTTTCTAGGTTTTGCGTGCATAAAAGGGGAAGTTTGATGTATCATGTGACCCTTTTTTTTCCACACATTCACACAAAATAGACCAATCGCATGTCGCCTATGTAAGTCCAAAGGAATAGATTGCTATAATAGAGAGTTATGGAAAATTTAGCACATGAAAAGTGCTGCAAGAGAACAATTCTGGTAGAAAACTGTTATAATTTTGCAGCTGCTTATTTCTAATGTGATTCTGTTAAAACCAATATCAGTTTGTAAAATTTTGTAGAAGACATTTATGCGTTTGACCAGTTGAATACATGAGGGTTTCCATGGCAACCCTATGAGTGCAGTTTGCGCTGCTGTAGCTGCACAGCTTTGGTTGGTGTTAATACAAGCGTACCACTCAACACAGTTGCAATAAAAATTCCCTTGGTTGAGAATCTGTGTCACTCAGAGAGATTACGGTCCAGAAAAGAACTTCTTAGAGCCGATTATTGTCCCAAACTCTGCTCAGAACAAGGTTAGCTGGGCAGCATCAGTTGCCATGGTGACCCAGCAGGTTAACAGTCCCCTTTGTGAGATTGAAAACTCAAGATACCTTGCTAACCCATATATCTCTCTTCATAGCATCCCCCCCTCAGAACTCATACCTTCATAGAAGTCCAGTGTACACATGGTGTTGCCGATCACCGTCTCGAACTGGTTCAGTTCCTTGCTGCACTGCAGCAGCTCCTCGGCCAGGCCTTGGTCCAGGTCGGTGTTGCGCACCACCGTCTTCCCCAGGATCACCTGCTCAAACTTGGGCAGAAAGGTGGCATCCACAGACTGCTTGGTAACAACCACAGTGCCGGGCTCAAGTCCTGAAAAGCAAAGATGAGGAGTGAGATGAGCCACATTATTAGTACTTGCAACTAAGATGAAAATCAGAGCACATTTGATTAATTTATCAACTAATGCTGAACAAAACAGGTAACTCCAAAGTGTTCATTGCTTTTTTTTGCCCCTGCAGGTAACAAAGCAACACACTTACCTATTCCACCTGATGTCCCAATGCGTACAATAGTAACATCTGTGCAGTGTGCGTGATGGAGGAGCTTTATCAGCTCATGCAGCATTATGGCAATAGACGGGATGCCCATCCCATGCTGCAAGATCAAGCACACATACAGTTTTCACTTTTTTCCCCCCAGGAAGGCATCAAGTGCACAGTTCACCTTGTTTTATGCCAAAATAAGTAAAAACAGATGGGATAAAATGCTCATATGTTGAGTTTTGTCCCTACGTACACTGACGGAGAGCACAGGTCCAACTTTGTACATGGCGTAACGGTCGGTTCCGGCGCAGATGTTTGGGTATTCTGACTCTGGGTCTTCCATAGCCAGCTCAGCAGCAATGTACTCGATGAAAGCCTTCATTCTCCAGGGGCTGCCTCCGACACACACAAACTACAATAAAACACACAAAAAGACACAGAAATGTTAGATAATAGTTAGATAATGTGAAGATAATTGTGGAGGATGTATTTTGTTTCACAGACGAGTGTAAGAAAACTCATTACTTTGACATCGCCGAACATCGCTGGAAGGTCATGAGTCTTAGTTCCCAGACTGAAGTGGTAGAGGATGTCGTCTTTCATTGTGTCCAGGTGTGGGTTGTGCACAAAAACATGGCTAAAAGAGAGAAGTAAACAGATATTAAATAATAACAACAGCAATTTCTCATTCAAATAAAGGCAAATATTTGTAAAAACAAAAATATTTTTGCTGATTTAAACACAGTTAACAACAAATTATGTAATTTACAGTAAAATGTTGTAGAAGAATAAATTATGATTTTTAAAAATACTGATTTTCTCACAGTTTTTGCCATTTTTTTGTTTGTTTGTTTGTTTTATTAGAAAATTAACATGTAAATGAATACTAATTTCTGTGATTTTGCTTGCTATTATCTGTAATTGAACAAAAACTGAGAAAAACTTTTTTTTTTAAAAAAGATCGTTTGTTATACATAATTTTTCTTTCACATAATTCCAAATGTGGGTAAAATTTAAAAAATAAATAAATAACAATAACAATATAATTTTTTAAAGACATAATACAGAAAAAACTGTAATTGTAATAATCTACATTTAAATACTGATTTAAATAAAATATTAAAAAACAGTGCAATATTTTACAGTTAAATGTAAAAGAGCTAAACATTTGTTTAAAAAAATAGAATAAAATAAAATACTGATTTTCTCACAATTTTGACCTGTTTTCTTTCTTTTTTTTTTAAATAGTTAACATATAAATTAATAGTGATTCTGTGATTTTGCTGGATATTATCGGTAACTGAACAAAAACTGAGAAAAACTGAGAAAGTGATTCTTGTCATACATAATTTTTCTTTTACATAATTCCAAACAGTGTAAAATTCTAAATAATAATAATAATAATAATAATATTTTTAAAGATATAAATATAGGAAAAAAATCTCAAACTGTAAAAAAAAAAAATTTAAAAAAAAAAGGAAATAGTGTATTTTACAGTCAAATGTAAAAGAACTACACATTTGGGGAAAATAAATAAATAAATAAAAGGTTTTTAATGTGGATATTATTTATGGTTTTAATCACAAAAATATTTTTTATAAATACATGTTAATATATATATATGGACATTTATTTCTATTTTGTGGAATTTACCAGAGAACATTTGCAAAAATTATTTAAATATTTCAAAAAACTTTTTTTTAAACCTTTTCTACATGAATGTTAAGCTGTTGCTGGTTTCATTTCACTTTCTGTTGACTTCACTCATGTCTGCAGTAGCTCAGTCTGTGTTCAGCTCCCGGGGTTGTGTCCTGAATGTGTCATTAGTTTGGAAAAAGGAGTTGATCCGCCCAGGAGAAAGGTCAATTTCCTGGATTCCTGTCGCACCCTGCAGCTTCCTCATTTCACCCAAACTTGTTTCACTTCAGCCTTAAAGAGAGCTGCAGCGATCAGCTGCTGGTGCGACCTGTGCAGCGGGGACGCACGGATGAGGAACAACCGAGGACGTGATCTTGTGTGGAGCTTCTCACCTGCTGCTCGACGCGCTGCGCTGCTCGTCGCTCGGCTCCATCTTCCTGACAGCAGCTGGTTGCGAACAGAAAAGGATCCAGAAGAGAAACCGGCAGCTGCAGGAGACCAACAGAAAGTGACAGTGAGCTCTCAGCTGAGCAGGAGTTCACCTCACAGGACATCCGGGTGGAAAACTCTCACAATTCAGGCTTTTTTAAAAAACATAAAAAATAAACCCACTAATGCAGACACAGCACTTCAGCTCCCAGAGGAGGAAACAGGACAGAACTGGCTCCAGAGTTACCTTAAAGACGAACCAGCAGCTCGGAGGGATGAGACACGCTCCGCAGGTTCGGTTCACCTGCGACAGGTTCTTCTTGAAAGTGCTGTTCCGTTCCGATTAGAACAAATTAGAGCCGCCGTGAACGTCCGGCACCGTGACGAGCAGCGCCGGCCCACTCTGATGTCACGCCGGTTGCGTCAAAAGCGTCACAACGATAGTAATCTGATTACTTTTCCTCGGTCACGTAGAGGTGACCGGGAGCAGCGGACGTGCCGCCGCTCAGGGATGTCCACAGAGGGAAAAGCACAGAGTTGTGAAAGTAGCTGAAGCAAGTTTCCTGAAAGCTTTGTGACATTAATTCAATTATCGGATGATAATGATGTGAGAACTTCTCTCTAAATACAAATATGTCTTTGTACTTAGTTACACATTTATGTACCACATGCACACATCCAACCACTAAAACTCATTTTTCTGTTCAGGAAGGCGAGTAACTAACTATAATTTGACATCTTCATCAAGAAATAATGATGTGCTTGACTGTTTTTTTTTATTTTTTATTTTTAAATTTTTTTTGCAAAACAGTAAATTTGAAAAGTCAAGGATAACAATATTAATTATATTTTAGAATGAATAAATATCATTTAAAGAGCTTCTACAAACACATTTTGGGTTATATTACCACATTATTTTTAATTGTTAATATTTTATTATTATTATATTTGTATTTTTTTAAAATATATTTTTATTTTCTTATATTTTTTATTATTATTCTGCTGTGTCATAAACCTGACATTGGGTGGTGGTATAATTTTAAAATTAATTCTAAAATTAATCTTATACATACATATATATACATACACATGTCTCTATATATGCACACACACACACACACCTACACAAGCCTTTATTGTTTACTGTTATTATATTAATACCCTACCAAGTCAATTTGTGGGACTTTTAACTGCAACCATAAGAAGTGGCAGAAAACTGGGTTTAAATGGGTGGATGTGCATCATCTACAGAGTTGGGTTTATTTTTTAGTTGTTCGTTTGCCATTTGTTTACTTGTTTCTGAGCCACGAGAAGTCTGATGCCGAAGACGAGAACACAATGTGAGCCAACATTTTCACACTTTGGTTTTATTTGTATGGCCTCTCTGTTCTGAGTGTGAATCTGTAAAACACTCCGTCTGTGATAAATGCTTCACTGATCACATGAACTTTTTAGATTTTAAGACTTTTATGAAGGCTTTCACTGGCGGTCGAGTCACTAAATCATAAAAATGCTACAACCTTTTTTTCTTTTACTGTGAATGTAAATGTAAATTCTTAAAAAGAGGTGTCCTGCCATAAACTGATTATGTGCTGCTAGTTAAAGGTTCCATTTGGTGAAAGTCCATTTTTTTGTTTTGTGTAACCACAGTACTCAGATTACTTTCCCTCGGTCACGTAGAGGTGACTGAAACCAGCAGACATGCAGTTATTTACTAGCAGAGGAAGGAAGGAAAGCACAGAGTTGTTTAACCACTTATAATTCCTGGATGCTTCATAAAAACAGTTATAGCTGGATGATGATGATGATGATGATGATGATGTGTTAACTTCCAAACACTAAAACCCATCAGTAGAGCTCCTAACTCAAGCTCCTTTTAACACTTTATTGCAGGGTAAGCTAGGGTAGGGCATCTCCACACCATCTATTTTCTTTTAAAGCATACATATATATTGAACCTAACATATACATAAAAGACACATTCAGTAAACACATTATGAAAGTGATTAAATCACACCAGAACACAACTTTGCTCTTATAGTACTAAATGCAAATCTAAACAAGGAAAGTCCTGCCAAACACTGACTCTGTGCTGTTTGTTAAAGGTCTCATATTGTCGATAAAACATCTTCATTGTGTTTTATGGTTATAAACTTTAAGCCCGTTAAGTTATGAAGACGTCACCCAGTCGTGGTAAAACGAGCATCTTTGTGGTCTGTTCATATCTACTGCTTTTAGCAATAACATGCACACACATAAGAAGATGTTCACTTGTTGAAATTATTCATACTCATGCCTAATTCTGCTTTATGGTGCATTTTCATTTCACCAATAGGCTTCTTCTGGCTGGAAATGACACAAACAAGCGACAAAGGAATGTAAGACATTGTGTTAGAGATGCTAATTATCAATGATTAGCTGTTTCTATGCTGTTTTCTTTTTTGCTCATTTTCATTAAAGTGTTTTATTAGATCTTGTCACTTGTTTATGCTGTTTCCAGCCATAAATCCATGCATCCATTATCTATGCACCTCCTAATCCTCACTAGGGTCATGGGGGGATGGAGTCTATCCCAGCTGACTCAGGGTGAAGGCAGGGGACACCCTGGACAGGTCACCAGTCTATCACAGGGCCACACTTAAGAGACAGACAATCAAGCACACTCACATTCACATCTACGGACAATTTAGAATCACCAATTAACCTCAACATGTTTGGGAGAACATGGAGACTCCACACAGAACGATCCCGGGTGGCCTCACTGGGATGCAAACTGGTGACCTTCTTGCTGCGAGGCAATGGTGCTAACCACAGATCCACCTTGCAGCCCCGTTTCCAGCCAGTAGACACTTATCAATAAACAAATATTTACTATAAATCAAAGTTTGGCATGACTATGAAACAGAAACTCCAGAAATCATCCTCATTTATGCCGTTTTCTCCACCAACCACCAAAATCAGGCTTTTCGCTGCTAAATGCTAAACTTTTGATGCTGGAGTTAAGTTTTTCTGGTCCAAACCGCCGCCAGCTGAGGCTGAATTAGGTGATAAGAGTGAAGCTGTGTGCCAGAAAATAGCAGAAAGACAAAAATACACAACAGAACTGATGGTTGGGTGATGTTTGTCACTACAAGCATTATAATTACATGGCTAAAATAAGTATAATATTATTGCATATTTTAATTTTAATTCCCTGCAGGTTATAAAAGTGTCCTAGAAGTTAACATACTCAGTAAGACGCATTAAATCCCAATGGTTACGCAACCCCAACTAATGAATGATTTTCACAAGTCGGGTTTGTTTTATTACAGCATAAAGAGAAATGCTGACTCTCCTTTAAATAAAACATTGTCACCACAGTTGAAAAGTATTCATTAATCCTTTTATACAATAGAAATATTGTACTGTCAACAAAATCTCACACAGCAGAAAGTCAAGCCATAATGCCACACTCATGCCGCCACAGCAACAGTCACCAGGTTCATGTGCGCAAATGGAAAAAAGTCACGAGTTAAATTAAATATTAGAAAGAAGAGAAAATAATAATAATAAGAAAAAAACACACAAACACTCTCAGCAGTAAACAATAAGACCTGTGCAAGTTTCGGTAAGGTGAGCGAAGCCTTTCTGCCACCCTGAAAATAGAAAAAGACAAATTACTGTTATACTGTTTATGTTGGTGACTTTATCAAGACAACACACTCAAGTCATTGTTCCTTTGTTTCAAGTTCAAAAATAAATTTAGGCATCTTCACTTTGCCTCTAGCGCCTAAGAATCTTTAATGTTAGAAAAAAGGCATCGGACAAAAGTCAAAAACTAATTAGCCCTTGCAGAGAAGTCTAAATGTCATTTAGGTCTTAATGAAGACAATCTAACATGCTGGAGAATCAAAGGAAGAGGAAAAAGTTTGACTATGTACCAGTATAGTAGTAAGTAAGAGTCAGACATTTTCTGGCCATTGTGACCCACAATCCTCTGAGAAGCAACAGATATGCAGACAGGTGGTTTTAGACTTTAGACTGCGACGGATATATGAGCAAAGAAGTCAAAGTCTAAGGTGGCGACGCACGATGTTCTGACTGTATGCAACACTGCGTACTTTATGGGTGTTATAGTGTAGTTATAGTACGTACTGGAAGTAAGAAGATGAAGTAGGATCATTTCAAACATTAGATGGTGTATTGGCTCATTTTTACCCCATTAAATGCAGATATTTTTAAAATAAATTTGATATAAATGTCAACAAAAACACAATTAAAGCCCAGGTATATCATTTAAGTGTACTGTACCTGTTTCAGCTCACACATGTTCTCCATCACCATTGCACCTCATTTCATGAAAATTCAGGTTCCCAGGGTCTCTCTGTTAAGGTACATTTTATATAAATCCAGACAGCACAGTTTTATTTTTTTTAACCTTATAGCACACACATCACAATGAAAGTAAATACAAACAACCAACTTACTGCCTCGGTTAAGACTATGGGGTGCTCTGGCAAGTGTTCTGGCTTCTTCTTGGCCTCAGGACAACTGGCCAGGCCGATTAAAAAATCCCTTGTGTAAGATATTCTAGCTAGAAATGAAAGCAACATTATAGGAGTTTACAATCCGGCGAATTCAACCACCGCTGATGTATTTACCTTCATTACTGTAAGCATTACAATAAGAGTCATCATCATTAAAAGACATTCTGTGTTTTACCTTTTTGCTGCTTGTGGAGGTTGATGATCTTGCAGAACTGCTCGATGGCGATGTTCGTCTATCAAGTGCAACATTTTAGAAAAGCTTGAGAATCAACTCCTTAAATAATCTGATTACATTTCTTTTAACTTTAAAGAGGGCAACCATTTTTGATTATTCACATATTTCTTCAAGTAATTTATCAAGCTGGTAGTTGTCTATCATAACGCTTCTGTTGCTAGAATAATAAGCTAACATCGACCTGAAAATATTGTTTTTTTACCTCCTGATTCGTCAGCGTCTGCGGACATGCAGCAGCATTTATTTGAGGCTCTAAACAAAGTGACAGGATTTGCATATGAACACAACATTAAATATGAATATAATATATTTCTGACTGGTAATTTCATCCCTGACTGACCAGGTAGCGGCAAGTAGTCGCCAAACTCAGCATGGACGTAGCGGCGCAGAGGTCTGGCCGGCTCCAGGTGTTTTTGGAGGATTCTTCTTCTTGATACCTCCATCCTGTTATCAGTAAAGTTCAAACATGTTTTAAACCTACTTGTATTCCACAAGGCCTGCTCATTACATCTATACTGAGTTGTGCTTTACTCATAGAAGCACACAGTTGATTCTAAAATTATTCATACTAAGGCTGAGTTTTGATCTGTAGTGAATTTATATTTGACTAACAGATTTCTGATGGCTGGAAAAGACATAAACAAAATACAGCAAAATATTGTGTTAAAGGTGCTAATGACATTTAGTGTTAGTTGTTTTACCTGTTACTAAAAGTGCCAAGTCCAAAATTGTTCATGTGACTTGAAATAATTGGAAATTTTCTAAGAAAATGCAGCTTCTATACCATTCCAAATGTTCTGTGCAATTTCCACCATGCTCTAGACAATTTTAGTCGACTGTAAACCGAGAACAGCCGATGCAGCAGTTCTCCAGTCAGTTACTAGTCATTTGCAAGCCACGATTTAAACAAAAGATCTCCATGAGCTACTGTGAGTTTTGCATTGTGGCTGCTCACAGTACATGTACGGGCTATAAAGTCGTCTCCAAGTGCTTTCAGGGGACAGTGGCCACAGCGCAAAGGATCAGAAGGTGCAAGGATTCGAGGTGAAAGAGCATCCTGGTGGATCTCAGCAGTTCTGGTGTCGACATCTAAATCAAAGCGAGGCTAGCCTTCATTAACACATGCATGGTTTTTTAAAAATATTTTTTTCAAACCCAGGATTGGCTGGGCAGAAATCCCAGAAGCAGCTTCTTAACATATATATTAACAGTTTGATTCACGTGGTGGCAAATAGCGGCTATGGCACTTATCTGAGACATGAGATTTTTATGGAAAATGTGAAAAAAGTGTCTTATCAACTGCTCTAACACAATGTATTATCATCTTTTATCATTTGTTTATGCCATTTCCAGCAGAAAGAAACCTCTTTGTCAAATGAAATGTCACTACATATCTACATTTCTCATGGGTATGAATAATAAAAGGTTTGACTATTTTACTTGAGTAATAAAAGTAAGTTAGTGAGGAATGCCTACAATTCTCAGTCACTGTACTCTGTGACATATAAAAGGATTATGATGTAAAAATGTGGCTCCAACTGATTTTTTCCCCCCAATTCTAGACAGACAATTATTCAATTTGAAATAAAGATCATAAGTATGTTGTGTAAACGAACCAGTAAATCAAACTAAGTTCTTTAAAAAACTGAAACAACAAAAAAACGGCTAATGACTTTAAACGCACCAGGCTGGATGTAGCACAGCAGCTAGCTAAATGTACATTTTGCACAGGCTACACAAACAACATAACTTCATCTTAACTGTAAGCTAGCCTCCCAAAAACCACTTATCTGTGAACACAACTAGTTAAAACCCTTCTGTAGTTTAACTGTAAACTAAGTCAGTAACTTTGGTAAACAGGTGTCTGCCTCCCGTTGCTCATCATGCTGCGTTCAATGGCAGGAATCTGTGAACGGCAGGATAACGGCAGACGGCTAACGGTGGCATCAGCGATTCGGTTTCACGTTTACGAGTCACTGCTCATTAAATAATCTGTAAATTAAGCTGTTTTATGTCGGTAACTCATCAAATCCACGCCAGCTAGTTAAAGTGATGGAAAACGCAACCGTGCGATGATGCGGGAGTTCAAAGTGAACTAAACCGTCATTTAAGCTCGCAGCGCTGGAGTGACAACTCACACGGACAACGCTAACCAGCTCTCACTTCTGTCTTTTCAACATTTTAAAGACGACATATTCAGATTATTTACCTGTTTTTCCACAAAAAAGTCTCTCAGCGTGGTTTTCTGCCTGCTCACCTCAGCGGTTGTCAAGTTGGTCGAAAACTTTCTGACTTCCGGATTTCAAAGTAAAAGCCGAACATAGAACTTCTGGTTAGTCAGCTATTCCAAATTTTGATTTACGGAGTTCTATTAACCAAGAGGTCTCTTCTGGCTGGAAATGGCATAAACACGTGACAAAAGATGGTAGAGACGTTAATGATCTTTCTTTTTTTAAATTATCTATTTATAATTATTTATACTCCTTCAAAGATTTTTGTAAAAAAAAAAAAAAAAGTTTCTCTACCATTCCAAATCAATTAAATACAGCTGATGCAGTAGTTATCTAGTGAGTTACCTGACAACTACAAGTCATGATTTAAACTGAAAAGCTTGTTATTAAGGTCTGTCACAGAGAGAAGGTTGTTGCTGCTTTCATTTTATATATATAAACCTATAAAGTCAGACACAAGTGTTTTCATGGTCCACTGGCCACAAAGCAAAGCATCATAAAAAGGACAACATAAAACTTGTCCTTGGGCAGCACTGGAGCTTGTAACAAGACGATGATGTGAAACAAAGTGGTGAAGAGCAAACAATAAGATGTTGGAGCGGCCCAGCCAGAGTCCAGACCTGAATCCATCCAGAACCTGTGGAGGAACTGAAGAGCAGAGTGATGGAGAGGAAGCCTTCAAGCTCCAAGAGCTGCAGATGGACACTTGGAGGAACCAAATCCCAGTAGAGATAATCAGGAAGACTGATTATAGGAACTGTTCAATTAATGTGGAGGAAAATAAAAGCTTTACTACAACTGAGAAATGGTTGAATAACTTTGGTGTAGAATTCTCAATAAAAATGTTAAACAAATGAAGGACAAAACTTTTTACACAGTACGTTACCATCTTGTCTCTTGTTTTGGTCATTTCCTGCCCGAGGACCCATTTTGTTGAATAAAATTTCAAAATAGAGCAAAATCTGGCACATGTATCAATAACTTTGGGCATAATTGTATGTCTAACACTGCAAACTGCTTGTGCTCTACATACAGGTTACATTACACATCTTTTAACCCCACAAGGGTAGAAAATCCCACCACAAGCACCTTAAAATACATTTTTAAAGCAATCCATGCATCATCTCTACAAAGTGGATCTGTGCTCACATTTAACAAACACATAAAACCCTAGAATGCTGCCAGATTTAGGTATTTCCGGTGTTACTGTTCACATACCTGGTAGCTTTCCATCATTTATTTGAATTTGTAAAAACATATTTTACTTAATATGTTCAGAATTTTTTTTTTTTACTAAGAGGAAAACCTGAAACCTTTTAAAACATTTTCTTCTGTTCTCACATAGGAAATAACTCAAATTCATCAAGTTTTTTTTCCACAATATAACTAATGATGAACAGCTTTTGAATAGTCATCGGAGGTCACTGATGTTGAATGAATTTGTAACCTGCAGCTTTTTAAAGTCTGATAAAACATCTCAAGGACTCAAATCTACTGTACTGGATTGTCCATATGTGTTAATTCTGTCATCTTTATGACTTTCTTTAAAGCTACACACAGATGAGGCAGAATTGTGTTTCAGTATCTTACCAGTAATCCAAGAGAACTAGTTCTAAACCTGCTGATGATACTGAACAACCTTCATATCAGAGACAACACGTGAGTTCAGCATCTGAAATAAACAGTGACCTTATTTTATATCATCTCTATTGTGAACTTTTATAAAAGGCAAATGCTGTATATAAAAGCACAATACACCATCACAGACACACTTATATAACAATAAATTAAGTCTTAAATCTTAGCAGTAACTGTTTTCTTTTGCCTGGTAATTAACCTGCACCCTGTATGTATGAATTATTTGTCAGCAAGCATTTATTTCTTTTAAGTGAGAGATGAGAAAAGTGATCTTTCAAGTCACATCCAAGTATTTTTATTACAAACAGAAATGCTGTGCAACAAATATATTTACATTTCCTACAGTGTTTCCAGTTACAGACGGGATATTAACAAAAAACATTCCAGTAAGCAAACCAAACCTCAACTACTCCAAACAAACCCTAGATGTAGTCAACACGCGGCCTAATCACCATAAAGAAAAATGCACTTTAAGATATAAATTCAACTTTACTCATAATCATAAAGCCAAGCTAATGTAAATAAAAGTAAAAAAGGATGACTGGAAAGGCAGTTATGTCTCGGTCAACACTGTATATGTCCACAGCACACTGTCGGGGCACATTGGGTGCCACGAAAATGCAAAGTCACTTTCACACGAGCTGTAGCACTATTTTTCTAGGACCTATTGGTCTCCCGCTTAGCTCCCTGATTGCCGTTAACGCCTCCTGACGGGACTCGAACACCAAAGTGGCCGAGCCTTTAGGTCTTCCACTCGGCTCATACTGCAGTGACACAGACCCGGGTATGATGTGGTATCCGTAACAAAAATCGTAGATTTCCTCGCTTCTGATTTGGAATGGCAAGTTCATTAACTGCACGCAGGTGGGACCATCAAAATGCTTCACTGGGGAGCCCAAGCTACCACGAACTCCATTACCCCTGTCCTCAGGAGGAAAAGGGTCGGCATGAGGTTCATAATCGAAGCCTCCATGGAAGGAACCCTGTGCATCAGTTACTGGCATATTAGGATCATGAGGGTTCCTAAAGTCAGAGAACAAAGTGTCACCGGGGGGGAAGGACGTCTCGCTTCTCCTCCCAGAGTACCGCTCCTCTCTTGGCTGTTGCTCCTGCACCACCGGTGGCTCGGCGCTCAACTGCTGCATCTGAGAACGTGAAATGCACTTCAGCATGATTTCCGACCCCAGAAACCGTCGTCCATTGAGAGAGAGTGCCCTCATAGCCTCCACCTCAGACCCAAACAGAACCAAAGCCTTCCCAACCCCGGCGCCTTTATGGTCGTGCAGCACGCACACCTCCATGACGGTAAACCCGTGGAAGAAATCCATGATTTCAACTTTTCGTACATCAAATGGCAGGCTCTGCATAAACACGCAGGACTTTTCAGAGTCATAAGGAGCGCTGGGGAAATGCGGAGGCCTTTCCTGAAACCTTTCAGAGTTTCCTGGAGGTTGGACAGCCACAGTCTGAGACTCCAGGATGGTGATCATGTTCTCCCTTGAGATCGGACGGGTGTAAACCAATCGATTGAAAAACTCTCTTTTTTCAAAACTTAAAGCCTCACAATAGTCACGCTGGCTCTTGAACAACACAAACGCAGATCTACTTCTTTTCCCATCGCTCTCATTTAAGTGCAGGATCTGGTCGTCCTCTAGCTTTGCATTTTGAAAGAGCTGTTTTATATCTCCTTTTCCCACTGCAAAGGACAGATTCTCCAACATGACACAGTACTCATCGTCTGAGGGAGCCATATGCCTCTTGGCCAAAGGTGATCGTGACCTTACACGATGTGGTGGAGTCCTCTGACTGCGAAGGGGTGATCTCCCTCTTTCAAAGTTCTCGTTCCTGTTGACAGCCATTGGCGGTCTACCAGTAGCCCGACACCAATCATTCACCGTTGTTGGGGAGATCTCAATATACCTCGAGCCAATGTATTGCCTATCCCTCTTCAAGCCTTCCGCCGAGTCCTCTCTTGTCGCAAATTTGATGAGACCATTCCCATTGTTTGAGCCGTCTCGATTTTTCAATATGACAATTTCAACAACGCGTAAACCACCGAAAAAGTCACCAATCTCCTTTTCAGTCACAGTAAAAGGCAGTCCTTTTAGAAACAAGCACGTGAAGTCATCTGTGTGTGGAGCCCTCTGGTGATGGGGTGGAGGAGTAATCCTCGATCTGCTACCTGATCTCCGGCCCACATCGGGGTCCGCAGACCTTCGAGCACTTCTCGTGTTTTCCTCAATTCGCCTCTTTTGTTCCAGCTCCGCATTTCTTGTGCTTCTCTCAAGCACCGCCTGCATTTCTGTTTTACTGCTCAGTAGTAACATGACAGGCGCGCCTTTAATTACGCCCCCTGACCTCGTCATGGCTCTTCTTGCATCCTCATCTGAGGCAAAGATAATGAAAGCTTCCTCTCGATCCCCACCAATGATATGCACCCCTCCGTCTGGAATTTTGAGGCCAGTGAAGAACCTGCGAATATCCTCAGTACCCGCTGTGACTCTCAGTCCCTGTAAACGGATGACGACCGCCATGATGACTCAAAAACAACAGCACCTGCAGACAGAAGGGTATAGGATAATATTATTGCCAACAGAGCTTCTCTAGCTCTGTCACTGCCCAGCATTCCAATATGCACCTGAATAGGAAGGCAAAGTGAAGGGCATCAGAGACAAGGAACACCATTCCAATCAATGCCCACAACAGCCACCTTCAAAACACACAAGGTTGCGAAATAAAAATTGGTGAAATGTCAACACACAACATCAACTTAAGGCATCTGCCCTTCAAATTGAAGTGACAGCTAAAAAATGATCCTAAATACGAACCAAAATCCACTTTTCAGCCAAACCTTTACTTAACTATTTGTTAAATTGTGTGAATATCTTTTCAAGGTCCACCAGTTGTTTGTTTTGTGTGCTGAAAAAAAAAAAAAAAAAAATCCAGTGTTCGTGCACAGCCCTGGCTCTGTAAATGAGAAGCAAAAACCAAAAAAAAAAGCCGAAAAAAAATGGCTTGGACCAATCTGCCCAGCGTATTCAGCATATCCCAAGCCTGCTTGCACACATGCAAGTTTATGCTCTGCACATGTACATCTGTCAAATTACATCTAAGTATACTATCTAAATTTCAACAATCTTTCTTCAGACTCTCAGACTCCACCTTTAAATCAAACTCCACACAACACTCCTCACTACTTTGGTGCATCTTCCACCGGTACATTCAAAAAAATGCAGTCCGTGCTGGCTCCGAAAGGACAACATGGTTGGTTCTGAACATGACCTGGAATGAAAGGTGATAAACTGAACATCTATCACCACTCAGAACATAAAAATCCACAGAAGACTCAGCATCCAGGGGCTGTGTGTCACAATGGTAGGTGAAAAAAAAAATCCACTTTCAAGTTTACCAGCAGGTATTTCCACTTATTTACCCAACAAAGCGATCAACTGGAGTGGCTTGTGGAGTGGGGCAGTCTTGTTGATCCATCACGAACAAAGTCTTTGGATGCAGACTTGGAAAAAAGGCAGTCCATCTGATAAACAGTAACTGCGCAGTGTAAAACCCTATCTCCATGCCATTTAGATTTGCGTTTTCAGCACCAGCTCTGATCCCACGAAAGCAGTTCCCAATCTGTCACTCAGAACCACAGGCTGGAAAGCACCAAGCAGTACATTGTTAACACTAATCTTCAAACAAGAAATACTGTCTCACCAAATGCCAAGAGAACCAAAATTGCGTATGTCTGGCATTTACTACAGCCCACAAATACCAGTTTAAAATTCAAGGGTATCACAGCCTGTTCATTAATAATGCCACTGATTTCGCAAGTTTAGCATAAATAATTACTATTTGCATTACAGGTACTGTTACCCGAAAACATGCAACCATATTTTAGCTCTAGGAATACTTTTGAAACTGTTTTGATTAACTAAACGAAATATCCAGGTGGTTCACCATCACAAAACCCACCAGCATTCATAACCAAAGCTAAATATGACGTTGCTTTTCTCTTAAACTTGGACTAACTCCACGGTGAAAATTCAGCTTCCTCTGACTGGACAGGCTCCTCCATTATGCATATTTTTGATGGGGGGAAAAAAAAATCCTGGAACCAGGATGTTGTCCCTCCTACAGGTTCCTCCACTGCACCGCTGCCAAGAGTCCCAAGATACTCCATTTAATGCAGCAAAAGCACACCATTGTGGATTGTACAGTTTGGAAATCTACACCCCAGCTGCAGTGTGTTCATCCAGAGACTGGCGCCCAGCTTCATTTGATAGCAATAGAGTCCTTTTTTCCTGCCTTGTCCTTTGGCCACAGCATCCTTTCCTTCTTGGAACACGTTGGTAGAAACAGTTATACTTGCTATGTATAAAGAGTCATCTCACCAGTGCTCCTCATTTGTTGCTTGACATTCGGCCTGTACGATGAAACAACAGCAATATGTACCAGCTATGGACACAGCAGATTCCAATCGTCATTAAAACACATGACAAACAGTTTAGTTGCAAAACCAAACCCCTAGCTTGCTCCCTCCCTGGCGCTGAACAGCTTGTAATATTCCTTGATAACTGAACTCCCGCGCCCTCTGTCGCTATCCCCGTGGCTTCCATGCAGGTCCTCTGAGGTTCGCTAGTCCGTGGCTGCCTGGGCCTCTCGTCACCTCTGTCCACACCCAAAGCCCTGATGGAGGCAGCCGGCACAGATCAGCAGTTTCCCTTACAAGACAGGCTTTACGGTCAAAACCCCCATGTTTCACACCTGAGTACCACACTCCCAGTAGATTGCTCCAAGACCAAAAAACCTCCATCCAGTGATACCCAGTCCAGGCCAGCTCAGGAAACCTTAACCTCTGTGCGTTGCAGCAGTTTCACCCCAGTAAACCTCCATACACCTCTGGGGTTTAGGTTGTTTTTTTAACATGCATCATGGTAAGATCGTTTCATTATAATTATTTATGCGTCCAAGTTTACGTTTTGTATCGCTACGGTAACATTAAAATGATTAACCATATGGCTCAATGACTAGACTGTAGCGACTAAATTCAAATTAAGCTGGTGAAATTTAAAATAAACCAATGTTTGTTAATGGTGTTTATGAAATCATAGGTCATTTAAAAAATCCAAATAATTATCATTACATGGAAATTAAACATTTTATCAAAATATATTTGTCAGCTATATACTCTACTCTCTCTACTGTATAATAAGCATTTCTTTGCAGCTTGTTCGTACTAATTTTAAAATTAGCACAACAACCTCACAGCTGTGTCATCCACACCAGCTGTGGATGAAAAACCAACAGCAGGTTGACTGCAGGGGTAAGAGTCAAAGACATGCTAATGGACTTACTGCATTACATTAATAACAATCTGAGCAAGATAGAATTTTGTGTTTTCCTCTCTCTTGGCTGTCTGCATTAAAAGCCCTGCATCAACAGAGAGACCAGAGAGGAAGAGAGGAAGAATCACCTCTAAGAGGTGTATCTTGAGTGGCAATCCTGATCTGCATCAGATGTCACAACACATTACAATGGATGATTGACAAATGTTGTGCCATAAGTTCAAACATGACATGAAACCAACCAACACCACTTTGTGTTACAAATGCAATACGACCTTTAGCCACCATAATTATCAACTGGCATCGAGAACAGAATTTTACCACCTGCAAGCTAATTATTAGAACAGGCAAAAACCACTCAACAAGAAAAACTAGTGGCAGGCATCATGCAAATGTTGATCATCTGTCAAAAACTGACTGCCATCAGCAAGGCTGTGCTGTGTCACCCAGTTTATACACATCGACAACTTCTTTATGTGCATCAGTGTGCAAAAAGTATTTCCTTGCGAATCTTTCTTTCAGGTAAAGAAAATGCTTGTAATTTACAGTGTGATCAGGCTTGGCATATAAAAGGATTATAGCAATGCTAAAAAATGTTTCTATTGTTAAGACAGTATGTGTTTAGTATATGTAAAATCCTTGTTTATACTGTAACTAACATTCCTTACAGATGGGTTATAGTGTGCCAAAATCACCTCATTTTCAATTATCCCATGGACTTAAAATCTTTAAAAAATATAACTTAACATGAATGAAATTTTACAGCCACTATAAAAGAGCAGCAATCCCTTTGTAACAAGTTAAATAAAACATTCTATAAGTTAAAAGGGGGACATTTCAACTAGCAAAAACAACTGGATTGGACACAATGTTTGGCACAGAGCATGTAAAACACGGCAGAGACCACAGGATATTTGCTCCTAATTAGTTTTTGTCAGATGATCACTTCTTAGAACACCTGCCAGCAAATCAGTTGCATGACACACAGCTAAGTCTTCCAGACTTGCCATCCACGTAACCCAATCATCCACAACAACGAATTTACTTAACCAATGTGCCACCAAAGCGTGTCCAACCCAAAAGCACAGTGCATCACAAATCACACAGCAGCCTCGTCGCCATTAACACCCGCATTTCACCGTCAGACCGCACCATTAATTCACATTAAGCGACAAAAACACGCAGTCTGAAATTATCATTGTGTGCAGTTTAACCCAGCTAGCCTTGCAAACGCTTTTGCCGACAAATCAGCAAAAATGCAGAGCTAAGCTAACGTTAGCTTTGCAGCCAGCAAGCTAGGCCTGTAGCTGTAGCGTTAGCTCACTTGACGGACAACACTAACCGACAGTAATAACGACACATTCTTTGTAATTAAAGTCACATTATGGCTCCTAACCAGCAACAAAACTTACACTAAGGGCAAGCACAGATTCTCGAACAACACTGAGAATAGAAGATAAATTCTCCCGTCAGCGAAATTCAACTTCCTGCCGCTTTCGGCGTGTCAAGAGGCTTCTTCTTCTTTTGCTGATAATAAAGTGTGCGACAGACCAGACGCAGCAGAGGCGTGTTGCTTCCCCCCACAGGTCATTTGTGGAACTACACCGACATAGGTTTGTAGAGTGCAGCAGAGTGGAGACACTAAAATACAGGTTTTGTTGCTTCTTCACCATTTTCATGTCGAGCATCGATTTCAGTGAATGATCTGTGACTTCAATTTCTGACAGCCCTGCTTGCTTGTTTTTATTTGTTTTAATCAAAGCTTGATTCATAATTTGTCTATCTCCACACATGCATTTTCCATCAAGGTGCATGCCATCCATTTCCAAAGTCTCCGGCCAGTTATGACCATTTTGTCCCTCCTGTCAAAGCTTGTATTTGACATGTGTTTCAAGTATGGTTGCTTTTCCCAGTATTTTTTCCCATAACTTTATTATTCCTTGCTGAATGAAGCTTTTACACTCAACCATTCCACACAATACTTCCAGATTTACTTACTTATTGCAGTCAGCACTTTTTTCTATCTTATCAGCTTCCTCATTCCCTCATTCTCCAACATGATCATAGTGTTTCATAACCTTAATGCATGATTTAATGAATACAGTCAAAATGTATATTGTTAAATATAGTTTGGCTTCAATTTCTGCTGCTTTCAGTGTTATTAGTGTAGCAGTAAATCCGTGCACACAGTTACCTTTCCTGACTAACCTCCTCCACCCACCCAAGTGCCACAAACTCCATGGTGAAGACATATGATTTAATATCTGCTTTCCATGTTGTGTCTGTATCTCTTGCATTTGTTTCTTACTTAGACTTATAGCCATCAATGCAAATCTGTATGAAACCGGCTTGTTTTTCTGGTGGTTACTAACCAACATCACAGGATCGTCTGCATCCTATTTGATTTGCTCAGGTCTACCTCAGGTTCTGGCAGAAGCTACGGTAGAGCAGGTGGCCAGCACAATACCGGGCCCATCAACAGACCTTTTACTTCCACTGCCTGTGCTGTCTTACACGTAGAATTTACTAGACCTCCCCAGTTGCTCCCCAATCAAACACTTGGCAGGTATTGAGGCCTTATGGAGACAATAGGTTCATTGTCAGTTGGCAAACAATGGGTTGGTGCTTTACTGCCACCAAGTGGTTTGGAATGTGGATCAAAATGTCTCGTGCTTACAATATTCATTCACAAAAGGAATAAAAAGGCAGGAAAAAAAATAGAAATTCAAAAATAGTAAAAACAATATCTTAACCCCCTACAAACATTACAGTATACGATAATAACTTAATAAAACAGGGACTGAGGAAATGTTAGAATTAGTCACACTTCAGAAAAAGCTAAATAAGACAAAAGTGAAGTTAGAAAAAATAGATAAAATAGACTAAAATGTTGCATTAATAAATTTAAATAAAAATTAAAAAAATCTGTTTCCAAATAGTAATAATAACACATCAGTTAACTGCTTCATTTAGGAAGGTGTTAAAGTGTCTCGTGCTGGATAATCTAGCTGTGACCCAGTAATAGCTGCTTTTTGTTTGCTTTTTAAAATCATTTTCAGCAACATTTTCCATCTGTATTGCTACTAAAGGGGTTGTTTTAAATGCACCTGTGTATTATCTCATGTCCTGATAATAAACAGAATCTCACTTTGGAGAGACCAGCGACCATAATCTCATATTAACCTAATTAATCTACTATATACAGTCTTCAAAGCAGTACTGTCTGTCCCTCATTCGCTTCCCACTAAACACCTCATTACAATAATTACTATCTAGTAATTGTCTGATGCTTTCTGAACATGCTCGTACCAAGTATTTCTTTCATCAAATCATTTCACTCTTTGCAAGTCTTGATTAGATCAGTGTCATTATCTCACTCCAAACTTTATTCCTAGTCAAGAACATTGTCTTCATCTTATCAACTGACATTTTAAAATACAATTTATATGACAGTTTTTCTACTTATGTCATTGTCCCTTGCAGTGTCTTTACAATAAATTCCAGATTTCTTAACCTGTTTCAAATTGTCCAATCATTTGCAAAAATCAAAATGTCATGCGATGTTTTATGGCCACAAGTAAATCAGTTATGGAGAATAACAAAGGGCTTAATATGCTTCCTTGAGGTGTTCCATTATCAAAAGCAAATTTTATTGAATACATATTTCCTGTTCTGGCTCATATCAGTCTGTCCAGTACAAAGTCCTTGATCTTTGATCCATCTATACATCTGACCTTTGACACCTAATATACAACATTTGATTAATAATTCTTCTCTCCACATAATATCTTGTACCTTTTCTATATCTAAGGAGACAGCCATTACAACTTCTCTGTGTATTTGTGCTTCTCATATTTCAGGTTCTAAACATGAGACAGATCTATGGTATTCTTCCTCTCCTAAAGCCATTCTGGCCTTTATGTATCCTTTATGTACTATATGTTAACCTTTCTTTTATCATTTTCTCCATTGTTTTACACATGTTGGATGTTAAAGTAATCAGTCGGCAATTTCATTGTTTGGTTTGTGCAATCTTTTCCTGGTTTGAGGAACTGAACAGTCTCCTTCTTTGGCACTTTTCTGCTCTCCCAAACTTCATGATATAGTTCTAGTAAAATATTCTTGCATGATTCACTGAGATGGTTTATAGTTATATAACAAATGTGGTCCTCTTGTGGTGTGCCCAGTTCTGTAAATATTGTGTTTTGTAGGTCACGGGTTTGTTCCCCATGTTGTGGTAGCATTTCATTATCTGTTAATTTAGTTCCTCTTCCTTTTTTTTAAACCTCTTTTCACTAATATTATAATCAGTTTTATTAGCCAAATGTATGTACGCGTACAAGAAATACAAAAAAACCCACATGGATATAAACAACAGGTTAAAGAAAGGAAAATGGGTGTTTCACTGTGTACAGCTGTAGAACCACAAGTGCAGGTTCTGATGAATAAATACAGGTATTAACTATAATTACAAGATTACTGGCATTTAAATATGTAAGGTAAGTGGATGGTGGTGCAATGGAGCCGAGGACAGCATTAACAATAGCAGCACCTGTCATTATAAACTGGTTTCGTTGTTCATCAGAAGGATTGCCTGAGGGAAGAAACTGCTTTTGTGTCTGCTTGTTTTTGCCTTTCGGTGCTTTGCAGCGCCTACCTGAGGGAATGATTTGGAATCGGTTTTGTGCAGCATGTGAAGTGCCTGTTTCCTAACCATGCACATGTATAAGTCCTGAATACGAAGACCCCAGTGAATTTCTCTGCAGTTCTCAGTTATTGTCCTTTTTGGTGGTTCGAATATTGTCCGAATTGTTCAAGCATGTCTGTGTCAGCATCTCTGCTTTCTGCTTACCCTCACTTAAGTACTCTCAATTGATCCCATTCATTCCTAAATGCTCCAGCAGAGGACACATAGGGATCCTTTTTTGGTTCATGAAGGCGTTTTCACCTTCCTCAGCTCAGAACTCTTGGATGACAACCAAAAAGGGGGATTAGAATGACCTGGATGACTGAGAATCTAATGATCTGCACAGACAAAAATCCCATTCATTATTTTTTATTCCTCCTCCTCCTCCTTCTTCAGAAGGGGCTGCAAACCAACCGTAAAAGATGCATACTGCCATCTACTGTGCAGGCATGTGTAGCACCATGACCTTATGAAGAGGTTACTCTAGGTATTCAAGCTGTTTCATAGAGATATATAAATAAATTCAGTCCTATCTGCAATTGTTTAGCCTCGATTTCCATCAGTCTCGCTCTGTTTTAAATGCACATGTTCTTTAATCAGTGATTACAAGTTGTTTTTTTTAGTTTCACGTTTGTGCTCACAGGATTTTAGTTGTACTGCCAAGGTAGTGCAAGTTTTAGATTTCATCAAACGTTAACTGTCCTGGATGTCTGGGACCCGCAGTGCGCTCCAGGGTTCGCGCCAGCTGTGTTCACACATCATGTGATGTTGAGCCCAGCAGCCACAGCCGGAGAGACTCTGCGAGGATCCGGGAGTGGAACAAAAGGTATCCTAAAGACATGCACGCAATCCTTCACGGCGATTCACATTCTGATTTACAGGTTTGCAAACGTAGGACACTTTTCGAGGCTTTGGTTCTCGTGTTTACTGGTTTTCGATGCCTCCACCAACTCTCGGCTAACTATGTGAGCTAACTCGGTCGTACCAACACTCACCCATGCTGGAGTCGGGGCGCAGCAGCAGCAGCAGCGGAGCCTCTGAGACGACGATCATTTCCGACAGCTCCGTATGGATTTGACGTCGGCATACATTGCTGCTTGATGTTTCACAAAGCCCCGGTTGCTGGCGATTTGGAAGATGGGGGATCTTTGTGACCTTAAACACCTCGTGAAGTGAGTATCTCGTTCAGCAGCAGATGTTTACTGAGGGTTAATTCTGGTGAAACCATCTTACTACAAAACAAAACATCATTAGCTAGCATGCTAGTAAAGCCGGGTGCACAGACTCTAGGGTCCATTGTATCCTAAAATGGAAACGTACACCAAAGGGTCCCTAGTTTTTCCACACAATTGGGAAAGTATCGAGCTCCAAATGTCGAGAAAATCTCCATTACAGCGACTTAGCACACAATTAAGACAAGTTTATAACAGCCACGTTAGCATACTCGCTGCTAGTCACAGTTAGCTAACATAGCTAGCCGCTAATGCTAATTCCTCGACTCTTCGGATACAGAAGCGATTGTTTACCTGTCCAGTGCAGCCGAAAAACACCTTTAATGCAACAGTAGCTACACTTTCAAGTATATATGTGTTGGCTAGTCGACAGTAACACAGCGCATTGTATTATACATAGCAAAATACTAGCTTTCTTTAAAGATGGCCCACGAAAGCTCTCTTTGCTAGCTTACCTAAGTTAGCTTAGCTGCTTCAGATATTTTTAATAAACTAGCATCACAGTGGGGTAGCTCGCCGTGTTTTCTGCCTGCTTACTACGTACATGCCTACCGTTGTGTGGCTAGTTTGAATA